GCACTAGCCTTTTTTTTGTGGGAGCTAACCCTGACGTGGTGGCGCTGTGGACTAAACCGCAGAAGCCTGTGCTGCAGGGTCAGAAGACCAAGCAGTCGTAAGAGCGAATCCACGCGACGGAGTGAGCGCCCGTCGCTTGTCCCAGCTCCCGCCAACCTAGCGGTTCGAAAGCACGCAAATGCAAGTAGATAAATAGGGACCACCTTGGTGGGAAGGTAACAGCGTTCCGTGTCTAAGTCGCACTGGCCATGTGACCACGGAAGATTGTCTTCGGACAAAACGCTGGCTCTATGGCTTGGAAACGGGGATGAGCCCCACCCCCTAGAGTCGAACACGACTGGACAAAAATTGTCAAGGGGAACCTTTACCTTTACCTTTAACCCTGATCTGTACCCAACCATTGGTAAGTATAAAGAAATGGTACTTAGGTTTTGACACTCTGGGCTAGCTACGACAGCATCATTGCATGTTGTATAGCTGTTGAGATATAATGGCATTTGATTTGGCTCAACTGCCCTGGACTGCATTGTGAGCATTACATATGCTGGCTGTCTTTTCATGCTGGTTTTCCCAGCACAGCAGAATTTCTGCATTGCTTGACATGTCATGATATCAGATGGTGCCTTCAAAATTTTTCAGTTTATGTTTCCCCTGCACATAAAAATGATAAAATGCAAACACTTAACAATGCCTACTAGTCTTGATGCATATCCCCAAATACCAGTTGCTATGTAGGAATATGAGAGGGAGTGGTAACTTTATGAACCTGCTTGTGGATGTAACAGAAGTACAGGTTGTCCATTATAGGAAGCAGGTTGCTGGATTTAAGGGAATTTTAGCCTGGCCCAGCTGGAATTTCCTTATGTTTTGAACATTTCTCATTTTATCCAGAGAAAGAAATTGATTGGTTTGATATCAATGTGTTAGAAAAGTGTAGTCTGTGAACGTTAAATAAATCTGGCATTAAGATTTTGCTTCACAAAATAGGTTAATGAAGTGTGTGTTGAAACACCAGGATTATCACATGATTTGCTTACATAGTATATTTTTATAGTCAATAAATGTATGTATAGAGTATGTGCATATAGTATTGCAATTATTATTTTGAGATTTATTTTACCTTTTATGGTAATATATGCTTTTGTACTTGGAGCTCATGGAAGACCTGTTTAGAACAGGAATGTTGGTTCCTAAGTTATTTTCACAGCTTATTACTTGGCATCATTCTCAAAAAAGATCAGAGGATAGCTTAGTGGAATTGTTTTTGGAAGAATGATCATAACCTTATGAAAACTGGCACATTTTATTTTTGTGACACTGCCTCTGAATTATTAAAAAGATCTGGCTGAATGTTGAACCATTTCTGGAGAATTCCAGAAAGAGCAGATGGTTTCGTCCGTTGTGCCCATCTGGCCATGTTTTTAGAATTGGTAATAGGTCTTGATTATTCCAGCACATCTTTAGGATTATTCCAGAAAGAAATATTCTCTTTTGTGACCAGATAGATAGATAGATAGATAGATAGATAGATAGATAGATAGATAGATAGATAGATAGATAGATAGATAGATAGATAGATAGATAGATAGATAGATAGATAGATAGATAGATAGATAGATAGATAAATTGTGAGGAGGAAAGGCTGTACAATTAAATGCAAGAAGAAAAGCCTTCGTGGTGCATCCTGAAGAGAAGGATTTGGTCAGTGAGGAAATTGTTGCTGAGCAGTACTAAAGGAAAAGTACCGAACTATGGCTGAAACAATCCTCTTCTTGCATTCTCCAGTGACTTCCACTCCACCTCGTCCATCTGCTGAAAGAGGGAAAGTAGGAAGCAAAGATTGTAGGCCAATTCCCTCCTCTCTCACTCTTAAATAATTTGTCTTTCTGAGGTAAGAAGAAAAGGTTGCAGGTGCTCCAGGCCTAGGTTATGTATGGAAAATACTTGAGTGAGATAAGTCACTCAGGATTTGTTAGTAAATTAGGGCTAAGAGAGTTGAAGCATTTATTCATGGGTGTAGACCACACTGAGGTGGTGCGATTCTACTGAATTTAATTGAACCTTACTTCCAGACAACGTTCCCTGTAATTTTCAGCCCTGTTGGGTGCGGCTCTGCCCCTTGTGTGTGTGACTCCCCCACACGGGGTTCTGTTGAAACTGGAACCAAAGCGGCTGAATATGATTGCTGTGGGTACATGGAGGAGGAGGAACAGTGTGTGGAAAGGGTGAGAGTTGTGCGTAGGCAGGTGCACACCTTAGAGGGAACCTTCCTCCCAGGTATGTGGCTATAAGGCCTCTTGCATAGCATATGGAAAGTTACTTTTGTAAACTTCAAAAGGTGGTTATTTTTGTGAGGATAGTTCCCAGTGAGTAATGAAGAAACTTTTTAAACTGGAGAATTCTGGTTTTATAAATCGGTAATGTAGATTCAGTCCATGCATCTGATAAAATGACATCTGATCCATATACCATAATAGATTTGTCCTTTAAGACTTAATAGCTTTTTACTGCTCCAAACTACCTTCCCCACCTGGAAATTGGTACCTACACATGTCAAACCAATGGCAAACACACACACAGAGAGAGAGAGAGAGTTGTAGGAAAACCCTAAAACCCACAGAGATGGAGAAAATTGATACATCTGTTTTCACTTCCAAGTCTCTCACAAAGTGTATATTTCTCATGTGGTAATATATGTTCTTCTTTACGGTCTCTGTGAATGCACACTAATGGGTTTAATCTGCGCTTGCACAGAGGTCTCCAGAATATTCTAGAGCTTTATGATAACATTTGTCAAGGACCGCCCCTCTAGTACACGTGGTCCACCCATCCTGGCAATTACCTTAGTTCATTTTTGCCACCGCTGAGGTTTCTCCTCTCGTCAAGCTTTGTTTGTCATTGCTTCTTTAATCTGAGGAAAATTGGAAAAGACTTTTCAAGTGCTTCTTTTCAGCTTCTGTACAATCAAAGAAAAATTTTAACAGACTTTTCACGCAATTTTTCCCTATCGCCCCCCCTTTTCCCCTCCCTGCCATTTATGGCCCCTCTTTCCCCATTTAAAAGGTGCACCTCGTACTCCAACAAAGTTCCCCTCACAGATGGTCACAATCTCTGTCTTTTTTGCCTGAGGGAATCTCACCAGCCTTCTATTTTTCAGTTCTGCAAGAACTTCACTAAACAAACCCTTGAACTCGGACAACAGCCTCTCAGGTCATTCCTCTGGGAAAGTTCCTTGCTACCAGCTTAGACTATGGAACCATCCCAAACATCTCAGCCCCCTAAAGAATCTCCGGGTGCAACTACCACTTCTCTGACAGTTAAGTCATTTCCAAGACCAAACCGAAATCAAAGTCTAAATCTTCCAGTTCAGCGAAGTCCACCCTGGTACCAAACCACCCCCTTTGGTATCTGAACACTCCAAATCAAAAAAACCCAAAGAAGTCTTCCACCGATTCTCATCAATCTTTTTTCCATCACCTACGATTTTTTTCCTTGAGCAGTCTTTACACACGTTGTATGTTAGACACGCACTTGCTTTCTGTGTCTCACAGACTTCCTCTTTCAGCAAATCAAAACGACTTTTTGTAACACTACACCTCCCTCACAGAGGTTCTTATATTTCATCTCAAACTGTATCCCATTGCCTTATTGCAACTATAAAACTGGCGTACCAACTCGCCTCTACCTGTTGGTATTAAGGCTTATTCTAACCACGTTCTGGCTACCTCTGCAGCCTTTCTTCATGGAGTACCACTCCCAGACATGGGCAACGTTGCTACATGGGCAATGCCATCTATGTTTGCCACCCGCGATCGCCTGGATCTGAGAACCAAAAAGGATGCAGCATTTGGGAGAGCTGAACTTTCTTCTGTTCTTCCATGACATCCCTCCTGCGGTAAGTTAGCTTGTTAATCACCCATTAGTGTGCATTCACAGATACCACGAAGAGAGGTTACTTACCTGTAACTCTGGTTCTTCAAGTGCTCATCTGTGAATTCACACTTTCCTCCTGTCCTCCCCTCTGTCCGTCACTCCTGTATCACCTTGATGCAGCGGTGAGCTCTTCTTAGGAACTGAGGTAATTGCCAGGACGGAACACATGTACTAGGGGGGCGTTCCTTGACAAATGTATCATAAAGTTCTAGAATATTCCGGAGACCTCTGTGCAAGTGCAGATTAAACGCATTAGTGTGAATTCACTTGAAGAACCAAAGTTACAGGTAAGTAACCTCTCTTTTTTGTTGTCCTATTTTTTTAAAAAAAAATACTATTCATAAGAGTAAAATAAGATGGACAAAATCTAATAGCACCAGTGGGTTAGAATGTCCTCCCTCCTGTATGTCAGGGTGTGTGACCAGGCATGCAACCAGGCTACTACATCCAAGCACCTCATCACTTAGCCACGGCAAGTTGTACAAACGGTACACAAATGCCAATGAGATTCTTGTCACAATTTGCCATATTGTATGATACTGCACTTCTGTTAAGGCAGCGGTCCCCAACCTTTTCGGGACCGCCGACCGGCTGAGGAAGGTGGGGCATACACCCCCACTCTCTTGTGCACTCGTGAAGGAGCGTGTGCTCTTTTGCGCAGGTGGGCGCTCTCAGGCGCATGCATGAAGGGGTGGGGGAGCACTCACACTGGCATGCGTGCATGTGCTCGAAGCAGCTGTGGGGGGTGCGTGGGGGGGCGGGAGGTCTGCCTTCGTGGCCCAGTCCGGCTCAGGCCATGGACCTGACAACCTCTGTGTTAAGGCATATTCTTTTGCTTCCACTTTTCTGTCTTGAGCCACAATGAACCTGCAGATTACCAACTCATTTGTAGTTGATTGCCTGAATTGAGTCAAAGGGCTTACGTTGAACTGAATTTTTCATGCAAGTGTGATGTAATATGAAGCATTTGATTCACAGATTATGACTTTGGAACATTTTCTATAGTTACATTAATATGGATGTGAATGTGTGATTCTCTTACTAATTATGTATCTCTTGTTAATCAGAATCGAATGGAGGAAAGCAAAGCACTGTTTAGGACAATTATCACGTATCCCTGGTTCCAGAATTCTTCGGTCATTCTGTTCTTAAACAAGAAAGATCTTCTAGAGGAAAAAATAATGTATTCTCACCTAGTTGACTATTTCCCCGAATATGATGGTAAGAGAGACTCTTTTCTAAATTTGTCTACTGCATGTCATTGAATACCAAGAAGTTTAACACTGCAGGGCTGACAGAATTGAGCAGGCTCCCCACTCTTTCCCTGTCTCTCCAAGTCTTTAGATTTGCCAGTGCCGAGTATTTACCTTTAAAACAATAAATTCAGTTTTCTTAACTATCTGTATACAGAGCTAGGTGAGGGGTTGGTAACTAGAGAAATAACCTGTAAAGCACCACTGTTTTAGCTCTTCTGAATCAGATTTAGAATGGAGAGCTATTGGAAATACTATTTGTGTGTTTGAAGGATGTTGAAGATCAGTCATGGTAGCTGTGGTTGTGCATGTTCACAGTAACATAGATTCGAGTTTGGAAATACTGTATTACAAGCAGTGATGTTACTTGCAACTCTTTTTGGAAATGATATAAGAATTATTTTTTAAAAGAAATATTCAGTTTAATTAACAAACAAGAATTTCCCGGAGATACTGCAAGCGGAAAAAAATAAAACGTGCTGCTTATATACCGCCTCATAAAACTTAAAGCAATCTCTGAGTGGTTTACAATTTAATTACGTGACCTACACATTGCCTCCCCCAAGCAAGCTAGTACTCAGTTTACCACACTTGGAAGGATGGAAGGCTAAGTAAACCTCGAGCTGGCTACCTGGGATTGAACCCACGTCATGAATTGCGTTTTAACTGCAGTTCTGCAGTTTAACCACTATGCCACAATGTTCAGTTAACAACTTGTCCTAGTATTTTTCAGTGAGTTGAGTGACATTTACAGGTTATTCCCAGAGCATGGGGTAGGGGTCATTGCAGGAGATAATGAATTATATTTTAAAAATACAACTGAATTGAATGTAATTTTGAAAAGTTAAAAATAATGAAAAAGACGTTTAAATGAATTATATTTTAAAAATACAACTGAACTGAAAATAATTTTAAAAAATCCCATCAATTAAAAAAGTAATCACATATTCAAGGGTTCTTTCTCAGCATCAAGCAAGTTGCCCAAAGGCTGCCTTCCTAAATGGTTTTGAAGGTGTTTGTTTTAAAAATCTTAGCAATTTTTCCTCTTCTAGTCCAACAAACCAAGTAGAATATATAAAATTCCAATTTTGTGAGAGAAAATGTGAAATGATTTTTTAAATTGGGTGTGTGTACTCATAGACACATACTAAGACTTTGTTATCTACATCAATCCTATTGTGTCAATAGGAATAATTTCCAAAGAACTGTTGTGATTTCCTAACTTTGGAGAGATTTTGCACCTCCTGAAATATTCTACTAGGACAAAATAAAACAAAGGTGTTTCTCCTTCCACCCCTTTCTACCTTCTCTTTTCCCAAACTCATTCTGTACTCCCCTTTCCCATAGAAAGCCCCCCAGATCTTCTCACTTTGCCCTATACTGTAAGACTCCAGTTTTCTATCATGTACATCTTCCTTTTCCTTTTATGGGCAGGAAGAAGTTTGATATATAAAATATGCCCTCTCTCATCTTGATTAGGGATGAGGGTACTTTTGAGAAGCACTTACTTTCCCATGAGCACAGTCCTTTTCCTTCCCCTCCCACCCGACACAGTATATAATAGGGGATTTAGTTCCATCCTACTTCAGAGCAATGTTTGGGAAATTCTTGTTTATAAACTCTTTGCGGGGGGAGGGAACCCCTACAACTTACTCTCGAAAAGGCCTGGCTTGGTAAGACAAATTTTACCTGAGCGTGTAAAAATGATTTGAGTCAGTGTGGGTGTTAAGAACTTGATTTAATACCTTTCTTTTCATTCTTCTTATACAAAGGCCATTGTACTTCAAACATAGCAGGCTTGTATTTTGTTTGCCCATGCTAAACAAAACATTTTTTTTCCTGGTACAACAGGACCTCAACGGGATGCACAGGCAGCAAGGGAATTCATCTTGAAAATGTTTGTCGACCTAAATCCAGAGAGTGAAAAAATTATCTACTCCCACTTCACTTGTGCCACAGATACAGAAAATATCCGCTTTGTCTTTGCTGCTGTCAAGGACACGATCCTCCAGTTAAACCTGAAGGAGTACAACTTGGTCTAACTGTGCCTCTTAGGTTTCCCTACTATACTCCTATTTGGGCAACTGAAGATATTCAAGAAGGACTGTATTATCTGTGAAAATGATCTGCATAATACTAATTTATTGCTGGCCTGGACTCTTATTAATGTTCACAGAATTTATAGTAAATATTATGATTTTATTTAAACTTTACAAGAGGAAAAACAAAAGATGCTGAACTACATTCGCAGCACATTTCCTCATTTTTTTTTAGTCAAAACATTGTGACTCAATGTGTTTTAAATCCTCAGTTGTGCACTCATAAAGGATAGGGGCTTGGATTGATTTTTTTGTTGTTGTAAGTTGGTTGGTTTGGTTTTTGTTACTGAAGCAAAATCAAGTTGTTCCTCCTGTCTCTGTCTTTTTATTTTATTTTTTAAGGTACAGTTACCTTTTACACGAGCTTCATTCCTTGGTTTCCTCTGTAGTTATCAGGTCAGGAAAAAAGCTGTCACTAGAATTTAAGCCATCAATTGTTCAGATTTTTCAGTAACTACTTTTTAAAAAAATGATTGACCATGTTGATACTCTCCTTTTTTTTGGTGGATATGTCAAATACATCTGCTTTTTGGTACTCTCTTTGCACTGAAGGCTGGGAGTGTTGTTCAGTGGGAACATACATTAACTGTAGCAGTGTTACAGATTTTACTTTTAATTGTACCATCAAAGCTCAGCAAACTGCGCAGAACACAGCAAAAAATTGTTAAGACACAGAGTCCTGAGGTAGAATAGCTTTATGTTTTTCAATTGCCATGTGCCATTACATTTTCTTCTTTTCCAGAATAGTTCTTTTCTTTTCTCCTTCCTTCCTCCCTCCCTCCCTCCCTCCCTCACAAATGCCAAACAAATGCCATGGACACTACAATAGCCTGGAATTAGTAGTTTTAAATTAATATACCATTTAGATTTCTCAGCCTAATTTCAGACCTTTTTATTGTCTGTGAAGTTTCATGTTGCCAAATATGGCTTTTCTTTTATAAAAGCATTATGTACCTTTGAACTGTAAGATCTTGATTTAAAATGCCAAGTTAATTTATTCACAATTTGTTCCAGAAAACTGCCAAATCTTTGAGCAGCTAGTTTTCAGCTTCTCTGTTCCCTCTTGGTATTAGGAAGCATTCCATTTCAATGCCAAACAAACAAAAAAATATCCCCAAACAAAAACAAACAACCATGTAAGTAAAAATGCCATTTGGTGCTACATGTACACATGTATATGATCTACTAATTCAAAGTAAATTTTACTTTTATTGAAGATGGCATAGGATTGCACAGCAGGTCCCCCTCCCCTTTTCTTAATGCACCTTTAATTGAAAAATGCAAGGTTGAAAATAAAGCATTCTTGGTATGGTTCCTTACTTAATGGATTTGGAGATTTCAAAATGGGATTTCTTAAGAGTTTTTACTATAAATGAAATGGCTGAATAAATCTTATTGTAAGGATGCAGTCCTATGTACATTTACCTGGGAGGAAGTTCCATTGAACTACATTGGAATTTCTGCTAAGTAGACATGCATAAGATTGCACTACAAGTACACAAAGTTTTAACAATAAAATGGGGGGAAAATACTACACATGCCTTGATGAGCATCTCTTCTTTGCATCATTTTTAAGGTTTTGTGTAAAACAACCATGTAAATAAGAGTGTTGTTAAGTTGCAGAGCTATGTATGAAGGGTAAAGGGGGTCATATGTGAATTGTAGCAATTTTTCATAAATGCCATGTTGCAGCACTTAAGTAGCCACTATAGTTCTGTGGCAACATTTGTGGCAGAGGGGAGAGTAATATCACCTTGTTGGTTTACTGACAGACTTTAACAGGGGGTGTCATTAATTGAGCATTAGTTTCAGTGACCTGGCATAGGATTCCCATGTTAATGAGCATGGGCGCTACCACAGCAGTGCTTGCTGGATCATCTTCAATGAATACTAATGAGATTTTGTCCTCCCCCCCAAACTTTTCCATTAAAATTAATGAAATGCTGAATAACTTCTGTTTTATCATGATGAAACATCTTGTAATTTTAAAATGGTTGTAGGTATAGTGCAATTTTGAATGCTATAATCATTGTACATACATCTATATGTATTGTACATACTTCTATATAGAGATGTATTGTACATACATATAGATATATTGTACATACATCTATATATATATGGCAGCATCCATATGGCTTTGTAATCATTAATTTTTGGCAGATTGAATGTGCTGTATCGATATGTATCTATGTAATTGTTAATGTATGTCTTATAGATAATTCACAATTTAAATGTTATTTTATTTACTTTTTTAAGAGAAGAATGTAAAGTTTTGTCAGTTTATTTCTGACTAGGTTTTTTTTAAAAAAAATTATTTACAAAATGAATTATTATAGTGCAGAGCGGTACTAGCTTCGTGCAGTATAAAATCATTTGCACAACCCTGATTACTAGAAGTGGACTGAAAATACACACAAGCGTGTTTCAGTGCACGCATGCACACAAACACACATCAATTGGCGTTTCCATTTGCGTTTTCAAAGGTTTCCATTCAGAGGGAGAGCACAGCTTTGTTGGAGTTTATGCTACATACTGCTGGATTGTATTGTTTCTTGACAAAGAAAAAGGAAGAATAGTTTGCTACTCTTGCCATTTCAGGTGGGCTATCTCACAAACTATTTGTTTGGGGTTTTTTTACCACTTGCTCTTCCATCACCATTTAGTAATCTCTTTGGTAGCTCTTTTTGGGAATGTTTTCATAACTCTTCTAGCTGGTCAAAAACCATGTGACTAGCATGTGATTTTTTTTTTTTAAAAAAAATGCTTATTTATGCGTGTTGATGAAAATGTGTATGGACCTGTTCATAAAAAGAGGCACCAAAATTACAGTAAGTAATTTTACATTGGAAAGTTTTGTGTTTGGGATCCCCCCCCCCAATTTTGCCAGTTTTTATTCCCTTGAGAAATTATGAGTATACTTCACAGGAAATTGAGCTATAGAAACTGATATATATATATGTCCTGTGTAGAAGATAATTTACAGTCTTAACATATTATGCAAACATTGTTTGAGGACTGCACTTCCTTAAATATGTCATGCTCCTAAATTTAATTTGCCAGATCTGAGTAATACATGACAGGCTGCTCCTTGCTTTAAATATAACAGTGTTGCTGCTGTTATGTTTCTAGCACACTCAAAGTTTTTTATGTCACAGAGATAACAAACTCTGTGGCATAGAACATGAAAAGTGCCACTAAAATGGGAAGCGAGGCTTTAGTCTTTACTTGCAGTATTAAAACAAGGAGATGAGACAACAGGTACTATTTATGCCATCCATTTCCACAGAACTTGAACAAGGCCCTATACTACTATATATCACACCTATAACCTTGTACTGGGGGTTTTAACAGCATTTTCTTCAAAGTAATATAATCAGGCAGGCCATTATTGTGGAAACAGTCTCCAAGACACATTGGCTGTGAAAAACCAGGTGTCAGATGGTAATATCAGTCATGACGAGCCAATTCAACAGGCATGCGAAACCTTCATACAGAAGGCTATTTCTGGACAGTGTCCAGCACATACAGGCATGAGCACAAATATTGCTGGTGAGTGTATTTGTTTATTTGAAGCCAGTGTGAGACAGTGACTTCCTATATGATAATGAGTTAAATCTGAATACAGGTCGTCTAAGTTTGTCCTATGGGCTATGCATTAGCGGTCTTCAAACAAACTGGGACTGTGGAGCATGAGTGCCTGTTAGTTTCTGCTCAGTCCTGGATTTCTGTACCCGCTATAAATTGAGAGGTGCATGGCAATATCTCTTCTGTTAAACAGAGAATGTTTACTGATCATCCCAACTTAAACATATTCTTTTTTAAAAAAGAGTTTTAGAACAGAAAGAACAGAAAAGTGTAAATATGCTATGAGATTGGTGATATTTAATTTATTATGGATCTTTGCAAGAAGGTTGGACTTTTTTTTGACTTGTACAACAAAGAATCTAAGTTTACTTAAATTCCTTAGTTTTAAGACAGACATTTTCAAGACTACCATTAATGTATTCTAAGTAAGTTAGACATTTGGTTAATATGTTTTTGACATGTGAAGGCAAGAATTGCCAACACACTTTACCATGTGCCAGAGCATCACAGTGCTTTTAAAGAGGCACACTGCTCTTCTCACTCACAACGGATGCCGTTCAGAATTATTTTTGTTTTTTCTTTTCTGCTATGCCTTACAGTTTTTGAGCCCAGACATGGGCAACTCTTCACAGAACTAGAGGAAAAGTAACAGATCAGAAACACTTGTACTTTTTGCCAAAACTGAGTATCATAAATGACAGGGCAAAATTAAGCTTCTTAGAATTGCATGCCCTTGGTGTTCATTAGGAGTACAGTTCTCTAGAAAAGTGTGTTCAGTCAATGTTATAGTTACTGGGAAATATGCATGAGCAGTTCCCATTTAACCCAGTGGGATTTGTGTAAGAGAACCTTGAAGATTGTATCCTAGGGCATAAAAGCTATTGACCTACAAAATATTCATGGGTGTTGTTTATATTTGTCTCGATATACAAACTCTTAAAACTTGCCTTTTTCAGAAGGTAGCTTCTGGTTTTATTCAGACATATGGAGGAAATACACATGAGCAAAGGTGTTTTTCTTTTTTTTAATTCACCAAATTGTTTTTACTGATAAACTTTCTTTTAATTAAGTCACCACATTAATATATTTTTCCCATCTCAAAGGTTAAAAGTGGAGCAGACTTTTTTTACAGAGAAAATTAGTCCGAAATGACTGCATGATTTGCAAAGAAGAAGAGAAGGAGGAAGAACATTCCATGGTGTTTGTGGGGAGGGAATCTGCAGAATAGTAGTAGAAGACTATCAGGCTCTCCCAACCTTTAGTTGTAAGATGCAGATGATTTTTGACTTGCCCATTGATCTTTCCCAGTTGCTTTGCATTACACACAAAAGACTGAAATGATAGACAAGCAAAAATGTTAACACACATGGAAAAAAATAATAAAATGTACCCAAATTAATAATGTGCTGCCCTTCTTGAAACTCTTTATTTTTCTAAAGTATTGTTTCATGTCAGCTACAACAGTATTTCACTTAGCTAGTGCTGCGTCCTTAGTATGTTATCATGGCCTACCAAAGACCTCTTCAGCAAAAATCTGATCATATAGTCAGCTTGTATATTTGAAATTCCACCATATTACCACCATCAGACAATGAACTGTTTTGCACATGACTAACTACTGCATTTAAATATTGGCTTTTGTAAATATCAGTCTTTCCAAAATACATTTATACATCTATGCATGAAATATATATTTTCTTTTCTACATGTAGCCTTAAATTAATTTAGAAATTGTTCCACACACTTTTCACCAAAGCAAATTGGCCTCTGATCCAGAGCTCTGGTATGGATTTGCAGCTTTTGTATGAGTAGGATCTTATTAAATTAAATGAACAGGGTTGGAAATTTGCTCCATTTTGTTCTGTCCATTGAGGTAATCCATTGAGGTCACTCAGAAATCACACTAGCCAGAGGAACCCATATATACTTTTCCCATGACTGCGAAGTGTTACCAGGTGATAACAAATTTGACTTTTCCTCTCTACACTGTTGAGGGAATAGACTCTTTTTAGCTGTTACTATGTGTGGGTCGGGTCGTTTGATGGCCAGTTCAACATGTGGTTTCATTTACTGTTAGTATGCCTGTACTCAAAAAAATGGGTCAATATATTAACTCTGTTATGTTGTGTGATTTTTTTCCCAAAAAGGAAAGGAAGAACAATGTTTAGATAATTTAAAAAATTAAAATGTTAGGCTGCAGAAATATTTCGCTGTACAGAAATATTTTCTCTCCAAAGGGTACTTGTAAGATGCAATTTGTGATTTCTTTATGCCACCACCTTGGGAGTTGTTCTTACAGGACCTGTATAGCAGGAGGGATTTATACATTTAACAGTATTTTATAAATTGCACTTGTTCTTAATGTCCTTCAAATGCATGTATCATTGATAGTGGGGGGGATTACAAGTTTTTGGGAAGAGTAAATGTTGTATAAATACTTCCCCATATGACCTTGCTAGATAAAATAATAGCATTTGGGGCCATACTTTTGTACTCCAGTATCTTCATTCCTTTACATTTGCATCTCTTGAAGTACTTTTGGCTTGTTGTTCTCCTTAAATGCCTTTTTATTATAATATTGGAATAAATACTTTTATTCCAGTGATTACTTTATAGTGTAGTGATTTATCGTAACTGGATACACTCAACATTTTCTGGTTAGTCATAACAGCTCAAACGTCTGTTTCTTCCCTCCCTTGCCACCACCCCCCACGTTAGACAGTCTCTCATTCACACCATTAATAAATATAGGTTGAAAGTGTTGAGGTGCATTAATGTGTACAGGCAGCATTATTCTGTACTTGTGTGCTCAGAAGTGAGCCTCATTGAATTCAATGACATTTACTCCCAGTGAATGTCACATGACTGCATCTCTAGTTGTGGTTATATATAAGAAGAGAACTTAAACTTTAGAATGGAGCAGCTCTGCTAATGAACAATTCTAAAGTAAGAGTAGAATATATTTTTCTTTCTACTGGACTCATTAGAATGACAGGATCATCTTGCAAAGCCACTGTTTTGTGTTTTTGAACTGCAGTTATCCAGTTAGAGTATGACAACTATCTCCTTAAGAGCATAGCATGTGCTGCTTCTGGATATTAGAAAAAGATTCAGTCCAGAGGATGTGCCTTGTGTGGAATTGAGCCTTTGCCCTCCCAGATTTTTCCGACTACAATTCCTATAGTCCCTTATGATCAGGCACGCTGGCTAGGCCCGCAGTCCTGGGCGAAATGCGGCCCTTCAGATGTTGCTGAACTGCAACTCCCAGCAATCCTAGCCCACACAGCCAATAGTGAGGAGTGTTGGGATTTGCAGTTCAGCAACATCTGGAGGGCCGCATTTTGCCCAGGTCTGGGGCTTCTGATATTAAGAGCAAAATGTGGGGAAGGGTCCAGAGTTACCCGCCCTTGCCTTTAGGGGAATGATAGAGTCAGAAACAACAGTCAGGAGACATCTTCCTCAAATGCTCTTGTAAACTGCAGTACAGAAAGAGTATTTAGAGATTTCTAAATTAAATACATAAACACTTGCACCATTGTACATTTCTTAGGATTATTGGGGGGGCAGTGACAGTTGCACTGCTGCAATACCAATACTGTATAAATACTTTGCGTAGATGTGTTTTAGCAGTGGTTATTGTGTTTCAGTAGCCAACAATAATTTTTTAATAAAATAATACTCTGAGCAGCTCAATAAATGTAATAGAACAATAGTAGAATTTCCTTCTATAAAAAGCAGTAGGAAAAGACTTTATAGACATTGCTAGTCATCATATGGGCCTACAGCATTCTGTTACTAGAAGTAGATGGGCAACAGATCAGCCTTACTTATATATTTACTCAATTTTTGAGTTGTCCTAGAGAAAATGCACTCAGTGCAGTGTACATTTAAAAGGTGAAACATAAACCACATAAAAATGTGGTGATTTGTTACAAACCTATGTCCCTTCTCAAAAAGGGGGGAAAAATCATGAATCCAGTTGTTCCTTGAGGAAAAGTTCTGGTGCAACAAAATATGTGGGAAGTTGTACTATTTTGTAAAAGACAGCATTAAATAATAGGGGAAATATGCATATTTGCATAATTTAAGCCATCCTACTCCATTAATTGTGCAGATTTGTTCACATGCAGATTTTTGTCATAGGTCTTAGGACCAGCCCTGTCTT